TAAACTTGCTTCAGGGAAAACTCAAGATTCTCCCTGAAGCTGTTTGAGAATTTTCTCCTACCACCCCCTATATTATATTATATATATATATATATATATATATATATATATATATATATATATATATATATATATATATATATATATATATATATATATATTTTATTTAAAGACAAAATACATTGACAAAACATTCACAAAAATATGATACAAAGTAAAACAACATAGGTAACTCAGAGCTACATCTCGAATACTTCGTCCAGCTCCCCGGCGGTGGGCCGCGTGCCCAGAATGCTGCAGGCATTTCCTCTCTGGATCGCAACACTGAGTCTCTGAAAGAGGAAGCTGGTCGCCCTGTGGTCCTTTGTTTCTATGATGAGCTTTTCACCTAGCTCTTTGAGGAACTTTAGAGCACACTTGCCCCATGCTCCAAGGGTCTCCGACCTTATTGGAATGAAGTTATAGCAAGGGGGAAGGTCTTCATATTTGCGGATCTTCTGAGTCTCCCTGTGGCTGGCAGCTCCACCCCCTTCCACTACGGAGTATGGCAAGTAGGTGTCTGCCAATGTGGCGGCACATGTGTAGTCCCAGGCAATCTGCTTTCCATCCTTCCAAGGTAGCATAGTGGCTCCATCAGGACGCTTTAGACTTCCGTCAGACCTCTGCACTTGGGGTTCCCGTTGAGCTGGGCAACGGGCTGTGGCGAGGCTTCTCTTTATGATGTCATTGACCTCCTCATGCCTGGCATACTTCCCTTCTGCTGTGTGACACACGAGACCATGAAGTCCGAATTGATCAGCTGTCGCCCTGCCGCAAATACACCTATGTTCGGTGAGGATGGGGGCGGCTAGGCGAAGAGCAACACCAATCCGAATGGCCTGTGGGTCTAGTCGAGTGCCCAAGGAGAAATTGGGAACAGCAAACAGGAAATCTCCTGAGTGTGGTGCCTTCACTGCCAGGAGACGAGCTTTGTCCTTTCCTGAGGCGTTGGAGAGCATTGTGTTGGCGATTTTTTCCATGATCGGTTTGTCCCAGTGGGACTGTTTGTGTTCTTTGGGAGGAGCTGGTCTACTGGAGGAATCTGTAAGGGTGTCCCACCGAATCGCTGCTTCAGTAAACCTGGGGTCTTGAGCTCCTACCATGTCTCTCAAGCGTTCGGGAACAATCTTCTTGACTAAAGCACTGGAAGCCAAACACGAAGACAGAAAAGCAGGTAAAGCAACATGAGTTGCTTTGCGCACCCCTATACCTCCCAGTCGTACTGGGAGGGTTGCCTGATCCCATTGCTGATCCTCTAGTGACAGGTTCAGTGCCTTCTTAAGGGTTGACCTCAGGTGTGCGTCATATTCGTCAAGTGTTGGGTTGTCAAAAGAGGGTGCACACCTGAGGAAGTAAGTGAGTCTTGGAATAGTAAGGCACCTTGTGAGGAGATACAGAGCATCATGGGCATCAAGATTGCTTATTCTCTCCTCCATTCTCATCAGGTCATTCAATTTGTCCTTGAGGACTGTGTCGATGGCCTGGTGACCCAGCGGTGCTCCCAAGAGGGTACTGTTGGACGGAGTGGTAGTAGAGACTTCTGGGAAAATTCTTCGCACAGCATTGATTATTTCCTGGTTTGCTGTGATGATTTCACACTTGGAGGGATTGAGGATGAGTCCCAAGTCTTCTCCCTGTGTTTTCACCTATATATATATATATATATATATATATATATATATATATATATATATATATATTATATATATATATATATATTATATATATATATATATATATATAAATATATATATATATATATAAAATATATATATATATATATATATATATATATATATATATATATATATATATATATATATAAATATATATATATATATATAAATATATATATATATATAAATATATATATATATATATATATATAAATATATATATATAAAATATATATATATATATATATATATATATATATATATATATATATATATATATATATTATATGTTGTGCCGAATAGGTAAATCATGCAATTTTGGCTTAAATAGCAACGCTCTTCTTACCAAATAAGACAAGGGAAAGTTTGTGTATGCAATAATTTCGCAAAAATCATTCTGAACCTAACGAAAAAAAATATATTTCTTTGTGTTTATTATTAAATTATTGTAAACTTATGAGAATATTGATTTTAGGAGACAGGATCGTCCAGGCGGAACTGGGAGGTACGTCCAAGTGTTAATGATCTTCGAAGAAACTAAGAGAGAGAGAGAAAAAAAGTTTTGAGAAAGCCTGAAAATGTCTTAGACTGTGAACTTGAGAGACTAAATGAGATATGGGACAGTGCATCGGTAAACTCGTTTAGGAGGGAGTGGAGGTTTGATTTTCCTGTCAGTAATGGCGAGACAGACACGCTGTTCTCGTAGCTACACCGCAGAGGTATAGATTATAGAAACCTTTCGGTCTAAGGTTTTCAGTATAGATGTTTTAAGTGAATGCATTCTTGTAAATTTCCCTCAAAAATGGAAACTACGAACGCTGAGACAGTCCCTTGAAATACTGCATTATATTGTTTACCCGTGTGGGTGATGTGGTGCATTTAAAAGTAAAGGCTCGATCCTCTGTCCCGTAATTACGATCCGTTGTCTGATCTCTTAAGTTGTTGGTGATTGCAGTTTTAGGGTGGGACGTCCGGCTTGGCGCACGAGTAGCTCAAGAAATACAGATTATTTTCTTTCATAAACACCGGAGCCAGAAAGATAAATTCGTACCTTTCTGCAGGGATGCTGACAAGAATCACAGGAAGAGCCCATGATTCAGTCCCCCATCCAAGGAAGTAGAATTCAGAAACAGGAGTACACAGTGTGACTTTGTAAATGGTCCAAGTCGGACCGAAACGTCGTCGTAAGCTTCTCTCTTTTATGTGCGGGTTATCGTTCCAGTCACGGTATTGTGCCTTTTTTTTTGTTATTCAGAAACAGGAGTATTTAAACAAAACAAGAAAGGGCTCGCCTTAATTATGGCAGAGAACAGAGAGCCAGAAATGCCTTTATCTACTAAGCAATCACATGTTGAACAATTACATCAAAAGGAGATAGGAGATAGACTGTGGACTATACGTAGATAGCAGTAGGAATGTATGATTCTTCACAGCCGAGCATGATCAGTGCCAGGCAGTGGAAAGTACAACATACATGTATTTGACAAATAGTGAAATGATGAGCCAGGAAATCATGAGAATTCTGAGGAACTCGATACAGAGAAAGCAATAGTATCAGACAGGAATTCCCCATGGATATTAAGCTGAAGTTCTGTGCAATCCTCTTATATAAGTTTCCAACAAATCCTCAGACGCAGAGGAATTGCAGGGCAGGTGGAAGATAGCAAATACAATTATAATATTCAAGAAGATTCTACAATGAGGAGGCTGTAGAATTCCCCTCCGACCCTCCCTCTTCTCGGGGACCTGAACCCCTCGTCTGCCCTGACGAGAGCAGCGACAGTGACGAACCGAGTACGCCAAGCTAACAAAATTCTTAGCTTCATATCTAGAAGTATAAATAATAGAAGTCCTCAGGTTGTTCTTCAACTCTATATATCCTTGGTTAGGCCTCATTTAGACTATGTTGCTCAGTTCTGGTATTACAGAATGGATATAAATGCTCTGGAAAACGTACAGAGGAGGATGACAAAGATGATCCCATGTATCAGAAATCTTCCCTGTGAGGATAGACTGAGGGCCCTGAATCTGCACTCTCTTGAAAGGCGTAGAATTAGGGAGGATATGATCGAGGTGTATAAATGGAAAACGGGAATAAATAAAGGGGATGTAAATAGCGTGCTGAAAATTTCCAGCCAAGACAGGACTCGCAGCAATGGTTTCAAGTTGGAAAAATTCAGATTCAGGAAGGATATAGGAAAGCACTGGTTTGGTAATAGAGTTGTGGATGAGTGGAACAAACTCCCGAGTACAGTTATTCAGGCTAAAACGTTGTGTAGTTTTAGAAATAGGTTAGATAAATACATGAGTGGGTGTGGGTGGGTGTGAGTTGGACCTGACTAGCTTGTGCTGCTGGGCCTGGTGCCGTGCTCCTTCCTTGAATGGAGGTGACCAGATTGGGTGGGTCATAGGGCTAATCCGGGGGAGGGAGACATGGACCTGCTCCGTGTGGGTCAGTAGGCCTGCTACAGTGTTCTTTCTCATGTTCTTATGTTCTAAGCGGACGCTCCCGTAGCAGTAAACTAGTAAATATACAAGGGTCCATCTCCCTTTTTTTCTACGTCTAACCCTCTTTCAAAACCACCTGTTTACCCCCACACTCTCAAAGAAATCCTTCCTCTCTTAAAGAAATTCATTTCCATGCATCGATCTTCTTAGTCTTTTTTACAGAGACTTCCCCTTTTTCCTGTCACTCTCTCTCCACACTCACCTCCTTACATAATTCCTCCCCTTCCCTAGCATTCATCACACTCACCTTCTAACGCTCTTACAGAAGCGAGCAGCGAGGGAATATTGACAGCCATCGCTCAAACAGTCTCCTTCCTCAAGCCAAGACGAAAACTCTCAATATGACTATAGTTATTGTAGTCACCTTCTTCATTACCAACACCCCGTATGTCATACAGGTGAGAGGACTTAGCTCATACAGGTAAGAAGACTTACTTCATACAGGTGAGAAGACTTAGCTTATACAGGTGAGAAGACTTACTTCATACAGGTGAGAAGACTTACTTCATACAGGTGAGAAGACTTAGCTTATACAGGTGAGAAGACTTACTTCATACAGGTGAGAAGACTTACTTCATACAGGTGAGAAGACTTAGCTTATACAGGTGAGAAGACTTACTTCATACAGGTGAGAAGACTTACTTCATACAGGTGAGAAGACTTAGCTTATACAGGTGAGAAGACTTACTTCATACAGGTGAGAAGACTTACCTCATACAGGTAAGAAGACTTACTTCATACAGGTGAGAAGACTTACCTCATACAGGTAAGAAGACTTACTTCATACAGGTGGGAAGACTTACCTCATACAGGTAAGAAGACTTACTTCATACAGGTGAGAAAACTTACCTCATACAGGTAAGAAGACTTACTTCATACAGGTGAGAAGACTTACTTCATACAGGTGAGAAGACTTACTTCATACAGGTGAGAAGACTTACTTCATACAGGTGAGAAGACTTACTTCATACAGGTGAGAAAACTTACTTCATACAGGTGAGAAGACTTACTTCATACAGGTGAGAAGACTTACTTCATACAGGTAAGAAGACTTACTTCATACAGGTGAGAAGACTTACTTCATACAGGTGAGAAGACTTACTTCATACAGGTGAGAAGACTTACTTCATACAGGTAAGAAGACTTACTTCATACAGGTGAGAAAACTTACCTCATACAGGTAAGAAGACTTACTTCATACAGGTAAGAAAACTTACTTCATACAGGTGAGAAGACTTACTTCATACAGGTGAGAAGACTTACTTCATACAGGTAGAAACTTACTTCATACAGGTGAGAAGACTTACTTCATACAGGTGAGAAGACTTACTTCATACAGGTGAGAAGACTTACTTCATACAGGTAAGAAGACTTACTTCATACAGGTGAGAAGACTTACTTCATACATGTGAGATGACTTACTTCATACAGGTGAGAAGACTTACTTCATACAGGTGAGAAGACTTACTTCATACAGGTGAGAAGACTTACTTCATACAGGTAAGAAGACTTACTTCATACAGGTGAGAAAACTTACCTCATACAGGTAAGAAGACTTACTTCATACAGGTAAGAAAACTTACTTCATACAGGTGAGAAGACTTACTTCATACAGGTGAGAAAACTTACTTCATACAGGTGAGAAGACTTACTTCATACAGGTAAGAAGACTTACTTCATACAGGTAAGAAGACTTCATATAGGTGAGAAGACTTACTTCATACAGGTAAGAAGACTTACTTCATACAGGTGAGAAGACTTATCTCATACAGGTAAGAAGACTTACTTCATACAGGTAAGAAGACTTACTTCATACAGGTGATGGTTATGTGAAACAAATAGAGACAACGTTCAACAAAGTGTAATTCATATATCATCGTATAATTTACTTTTCAACGGGTAAATTCTTCATCACCTTCATGCAACTAAGAATTCCTGACCTTTTTTTGCATTGCAGATGACGTGTGAGGGAGGTAAGGAAAAGTTCGAATTTAGTGTATTACAAATTACCTTAGGATGACTGTGTATGTTTTTGGGCTCTTTTTGTTAGCGTTCTGCATTCTTGTAGGAGTGTGTGTGTGTATGTCAGCGCCACCTGTGACTCAGCTCCCAAACTAACCCTCTCCACACACTTTCCCCTGCATCTAGTGACCCTTTCGTTACACGAAACAATGTTCAACAGCTACCATTACCATTTATGTTTTGAAATATCAAAAATTAACCCTAAATGTAATGAGAAATCTCCTGTGATTTTAGTTATCCCCGTTAAGATGCTCTTCGAAGCGATCGTATTGCTATGCCCTGTGTTACGATACCCCCACATGGCGATGCCCTGTATTTTGATGCCAAGTATAAATGCCCCCTCGGTGTGATGCAACACGTTATGATGCCCTGAGTTGTGATATCCCTGGCTATGGGCGTTGCTCGGCGCTAAAACCCACCATGATACTATGATCTGTTCAGTGATGCCTCGTGCACCGATGCCCAGTGCAGGAAAGGACCATGATACGACGCCGTCGGCTGCGTCGTACCGTACTGCGATGCTCCACTTGTACATCGGTGAACCTCTCACTCCTGAATGTTACGAAGTACTGAAACTGGTGCCATCTGGCGCTAGAACAGAGACACTAATATACTGTATCAGGTTTACAGTATCTCTATTGGCTAATAAAAAGAACTTCACGAAATTCGAGGGAATCCTTCAACTCATTTTCTTTTTTAGTGTGATAGTTTTATTACGTATCTCATACCCTACCTGTTTCATAGTGCTAAATCTCGTAGCTCGACTGGTAGCGCACTCAGCTCACACACTGAAGTCCGTGTTTCATAGTGCTAAATCTCGTAGCTCGACTGGTAGCGCACTCAGCTCACACACTGAAGTCCGTGTTTCATAGTGCTAAATCTCGTAGCTCGACTGGTAGCGCACTCAGCTCACACATGAAGTCCGTGTTTCATAGTGCTAAATCTCGTAGCTGGGACTGGTAGCGCACTCAGCTCACACACTGAAGTCCGGGTTTCGTAGTGCTAAATCTCGTAGCTCGACTGGTAGCGCACTCAACTCAAACACTGAAGCCCGTGTTTCATAGTGCTAAATCTCGTAGCTCGACTGGTAGCGCACTCAGCTCACACACTGAAGTCCGGGTTTTCGTAGTGCTAAATCTCGTAGCTCGATGGTAGCGCACTCAGCTCACACACTGAAGTCCGTGTTTCGTAGTGCTAAATCTCGTAGCTCGACTGGTAGCGCACTCAGCTCACACACTGAAGTCCGTGTTTCATAGTGCTAAATCTCGTAGCTCGACTGGTAGCGCACTCAGTCACACACTGAAGTCCGTGTTTCATAGTGCTAAATCTCGTAGCTCGACTGGTAGCGCACTCAACTCACACACTGAAGTCCGTGTTTCATAGTGCTAAATCTCGTAGCTCGACTGGTAGCGCACTCAGCTCACACACTGAAGTCCGTGTTTCATAGTGCTAAATCTCGTAGCTCGACTGGTAGCGCACTCAACTCACACACTGAAGTCCGTGTTTCATAGTGCTAAATCTCGTAGCTCGACTGGTAGCGCACTCAGCTCACACACTGAAGTCCGTGTTTCATAGTGCTAAATCTCGTAGCTCGACTGGTAGCGCACTCAGCTCACACACTGAAGTCCGTGTTTCGTAGTGCTAAATCTCGTAGCTCGACTGGTAGCGCACTCAACTCAAACACTGAAGCCCGTGTTTCATAGTGCTAAATCTCGTAGCTCGACTGGTAGCGCACTCAGCTCACACACTGAAGTCCGTGTTTCGATCCCAGGTGCAGGTGGAAGCATTAGGACGTGTTTCCTTAAGACATCTGCTGTCCTTGTTCACCTAGGAGTAAAATAGGTACTTGGGCGCTAGTCGTCTGGTGTGGGTCGCATCCTGGGACAAAATTGACCTAATTTGTCCGAAATGCTCTGCATAACGAGGGGCTTTCTATATAGTAATGTGTCAAGGATGTCAGCTAGACCTGTATACCATGTACATGTACTTGTAGAAATAAAGATTATTATTATTATTATTATTATTATTATTATTATTATTATTATTATTATTAACTTGCCAACACATTGTATTGTAAACATACATAAATGCAGTGAGAATGAGGCCATTATTAAATCTTTTTAACTCGCCTGACTGATCAGAAACTAGGCCGCGATTACCGGAAGGGGGATCGAGCCTGCACCCTCTCCTTACGCTGAATGACTCATATGGATATAGCGCTTCGTAAAATAGACTAAAATACAATTTGCAGGGAAACGGTATAAAATACCAACACCATGGAAACAGGCACACAATAAACTGTATTGAGATCTTTTGTTGACAACGTTTCGCTGAGGCTTTAAAATGTCAAGGCTTTTTAAAGACTTGAAAATGCCCACTGGTTTGGCGAATTACCTTCCGGTAATACCGGAAACTAGGCCGTGATTACCGGAAGGTAATCGCGGCCTAGTTTCTGCTGACCAGTCAGGCGAACAAAAAAAACTAATTACTGACCTCCCGCACAGTTTGAATTTTCGGACTGCGATGTTATTTTCGTGCTCATCTGTTTATTTTATCCACATGAATGATTTGAGGCTTGTTTTGTTTTGTTTCTTTTATTAAAATGAATTGTACCGTCCTACTTTATTTTGTTTTAGTCCTACTTGAAAATCGTGAAATCAAATTGGTTTCTCGGAGTCTCGTAAAAGACGAAGGACTTTTACTGGAGTTTGAGAATCACCTTCTCTCCCTCTTTCTTATTTCCCCTCTCGCTCCCTAACCTCCATTTCTTCCTTCCCAGGGGCCTTATTGTTTATGCAAAGTGGTCGTTTTTAGTTGAGGAGAGGGAGAAGAAACGGGGAGAAGGAAGATAAGGAAACAGTGGGAAGGGAAGAGACAAATGAGAGAAGGTTAATATAATTACGTCAGAGGGAGGTTTTTCGGGTGAGATGATCAAATGTTTTTTGGTAAACAGTCATTAAATTTCTTTATGATGCAACGGATAAGGATTATATTCCTGATTATTTATTTAGATGTGTTGCGTGACCCTTGTAGTTTATGTAATAAATATAATTAGGAGTGATAGAGGTTTGGTGCGCCTATAGATTTTGATATATTTGTCTCTTCCTCTCTTCCAGGAGCTGATGATGTCCTTCGGGGACATTCATCATATCAACCCCAATGTAATAGCTGTCTTTGGCATCATCTCAGCTTCCAACTCCTGTTTCAATCCCTTCATCTACCTCTTCTTCTGCCCGAAAGGGGAAGGAAGATCACTGGAGAGCTACCGGGTGACCTTCACCCGTCGCTGGAACACTCTCAACAGCAGGACTCCTCCGAGGCCGGCCACTGCCCAAGCCTACCCCACCTCCAGGAACTCCAGCAGGGAGGGCAGATGAGCTCTTTCCGAAGAGTCAAGGCTACGCTGATTTTATTTCTGTGCAAAGACAGAAGAGACTATCCATCGTCCTCTAGACAGTCACCTGTCTGTAATGGCCGCAACGGTAGTTAAACTAAAAGGAGAAAACCAAGGAGATGGGGGAATGATAATCTGATATAATCACCAAGACTCCAAGGAGTCTTGGTGATTATAACAGGTCTTCAAAAAACAAAAAATCAATACCGTGCGATCTCTGTAATGTCTGGTGAGCCCATAAGTATCATCGTGAGTGTGGATAACAATGATTGTTAGCAAGTAGCCAGCTGCTTGGTGAGCGAACACGTGATTGTTGAATATATCAGTACTTGGTGAACTGACGAACACTTAGTACTAATGAAACCTATTAACTAAACTAATTAACATAGTGCTTTGAACTATTGAAACCCGGTGAACAGATGAATAACGTGGGACTACTTAAATACCAGCTAATTGTACTAGCTAGTGGCAACATGAACGCCGGAGAAAAGTTTAAACACTTGTGAAGATGAACGTTATACATGTGTATGTAACCCACTGAGCACATCAACATTAGTTGTAAAAGTCAGTTATATATGCAAATCAACACAAGTTTCTTAAAACAGCTGTACGAATCACATCCTTACCTTGTGCACTTGTGAAGGCAGCAACATCCTCACACCTGGTGAGTTGGCAAAAGCCAAGGCTTTCTTTAAGCATTTGTTTTCACAACAAAAGATTAACTGATAAACAATAAAAAGAAAAAACACAGTGCCATTGCTGGAACAATTCGCAATCCATAAATAAGATATGAAGCTGACGTTTCGGTCCATTGCGACTTGATTAGGGTTCAGAATGGGCAGAAACGTCCTTTTGTTTCATCTTCTATTTATGGGTTAGCTGTCGAGTCAAACACCTAATATACCCCGAAAGATGTATATCTCTCACTGAATATATACCAAAAGATTACCTTAATCCCTATGTTAGATATTAAAGTGTTCTTCACTGGTTGTCTACAGTACAGGTGAGCTGCAGCCTTAATGACCCCTCGTGTAGTAGACTTTAAACCCCATTCACCAACCAACCTGCTGTATGTAACTGAACAGCTGATAACTATCAGGAAGTACAGTACATGGTATCAAAGGGAGCCACAACCCAAAACAAACTTCTCGCACACACTGCCCCTTGTGTACATCAGTGTTCAACTTCGCCTCGCCAGCGAATGTTTTGTTGCTGAAACGGGATGCGAGACCACAGTGTTAACTACTAGCACTGATCAGTTGCTCTCGGTACAAAGTATAGTTTGTCACTCGACAAGGTTTAGTGAGATGACCAAGTACAGATTTAGATTTTTTTTTCTTTCTGAAGAGGTGCTACCAAATTTTAAGCTTCAGCACACAATGCCAAATACTGTTTGGAAATGAATTCCAGTGATATAGAATTGATGTCCTTAGTGCAGACTAGAATACTAATATAATTTGGTGAATAATTTCGTCAAATTCTTCTTCTTCTTCTTCTTCTTCTTCTTCTTCTTCTTCTTCTTCTTCTTCTTCTTCTTCTTCTTCTTCTTCTTCTTCTTCTTCTTCTTATTGATGTTGTTAATTATATTCATGGCAGCCTTGAATGCCAGTATTCGGAACCCTGGTTCTGAGGTTCAGTTCTCTATTCACAGATTCAACAAAGCTTCGAAATGAACCAGCTAGAACTGAAATAAGATTTAAAACTTACTCGTAATACGTTGAACTTAGGCTTTGTTTTGAGCTCGTTATAATTTGCGTATATCCCAGTGTACATACACTGATCAGTATGTATCTCTCATTCTATACACACTGTATGTATCTCACTGAATATACATTGAAAAGTGTATATCTCTGTGAATGTACACTGAATAACATGTTCCTCATTATATATACATTATATATACATTGAAGTATATGTATCTCTCGTATATACACTGAAAGCTGTGCATCTCTCAGTGCATATCATTTGAAAGGTATGTATCTCTGTATACTGAAAGGCGCATGTGTCTCAGTGTATATCCTGCATATCCACTGAAACTTGTGTATATCAGTGAAAATCTACACACCTCAGTGTATCAGTGTAAATACACTGAAGTGTGTATATCAGTGTAAATACACTGAGCTGTGCATCTTGGTGTATATGCACATGCAAGTGTACATGTTTCAGTAAATATACTGAAAGGTTTCTGTGTATATATACCGAAAGGCGTAAATCCTTCAGTGTATATACAGTGTAAATCCTTCAGTGTATATTGAGGCTGCAGTTCACTGCAGCCTCAAGTAACCCACGTGAAGGCGATAGGCTTCAAACCTACCAAATTAACTATTCCGTCACCGAGTATACATATATATACCGAGAGGTGTGTGTATATACCTGGAGGTTACCTGGAGGTTATTCCGGGGATCAACGCCCCCGCGGCCCGGTCCACGACCAGGCCTCCCGATGGATCAGGGCCTGATCAACTAGGCTGTTACAAAGAGTCTATAATTCTAATCTTTATATTAGAGATGAGCACCTTGTTTGATGTCGCTGTTTACGTCATTTGAAACTTTAAAGTCTCTTGTATATTTTTAATAGTTGCCGAAGTTGAACTGTCGTCTTTTTTTTTAATAATGTAAAAATAATTATAACTTGTGATGGTTGTGATCAAATTTATATATATTTTAGTTAAGAAAAGAATAAGTGAAGTGATCAGTATTGTATAATAAATGGTTTTGGTCCCGATGTGGTACTGAGCATCACAGACGTGGTGTTGAACACTACAGATGAGATACTAGCATCAGAGATGTGGTGTTGAACACTACAGATGAGATACTAGCATCAGAGATGTGGTGTTGAACACTACAGATGAGATACTAGCATCAGAGATGTGGTGTTGAACACTACAGATGAGATACTAGCATCAAAGATGTGGTGTTGAACACTACAGATGAGATACTAGCATCAGAGATGTGGTGTTGAACACTACAGATGAGATACTAGCATCAGAGATGTGGTGTTGAACACTACAGATGAGATACTAGCATCAGAGATGTGGTGTTGAACACTACAGATGAGATACTAGCATCAAAGATGTGGTGTTGAACACTACAGATGAGATACTAGCATCAGAGATGTGGTGTTGAACACTACAGATGAGATACTAGCATCAGAGATGTGGTGTTGAACACTACAGATGAGATACTAGCATCAGAGATGTGGTGTTGAACACTACAGATGAGATACTAGCATCAGAGATGTGGTGTTGAACACTACAGATGAGATACTAGCATCAGAGATGTGGTGTTGAACACTACAGATGAGATACTAGCATCAAAGATGTGGTGTTGAACACTACAGATGAGATACTAGCATCAGAGATGTGGTGTTGAACACTACAGATGAGATACTAGCATCAGAGATGTGGTGTTGAACACTACAGATGAGATACTAGCATCAGAGATGTGGTGTTGAACACTACAGATGAGATACTAGCATCAGAGATGTGGTGTTGAACACTCCAGATGAGATACTAGCATCAGAGATGTGGTGTTGAACACTACAGATGAGATACTAGCATCAAAGATGTGGTGTTGAACACTACAGATGAGATACTAGCATCAGAGATGTGGTGTTGAACACTACAGATGAGATACTAGCATCAGAGATGTGGTGTTGAACACTACAGATGAGATACTAGCATCAGAGATGTGGTGTTGAACACTACAGATGAGATACTAGCATCAGAGATGTGGTGTTGAACACTACAGATGAAATACTAGCATCACAGACGAGGTGTTGAACACTACAGATGAGATACTAGCATCAGAGATGTGGTGTTGAACACTACAGATGTAGTACTAGCATCACAGACGTGGTGTTGAACATTACAGATGTGGCACTGAGCATCACAGATATAGAACTGAACACCACACTTTCGGAATAACAAAAAACACAGCTTCAGAACATTACTACCCAGAAAGTTGAAATATATGAGATGAGTCTCACTGAATATTAAAACAACATATCACTGGTACAGATAAAACAACCTGTGATTATAAACACTGAGCAGGATGTACGGATTTACACTGAGGTAATACAGAGTTTAATGATACAAAAAAAAATCAGTAAGAGCACTGGAATATTTAACATGATATATGATTCAATAACACATCTTATACCTAGATAATGTGAGAAGTCACGAAATTTTTTCACACTGGTTGTTTTGCATATTATATATATATATATATATATATATATATATATATATATATATATATATATATATATATATATATATATATATATATATATATATATTATATATAATGTGAGTTGGAATAAATGTTAATATAATCTCAGTGCTTTCATATGCAAATTACATTGGATATCTGTACTTAATACAGTAATCGCTAGGGGAGAAATTACCTCATTCAGACGTCTCGCCCAGGACTGGACTTATATCTTATGTACACAAATAGATGTAAGTCACAGCTTTATAAAGCTTATCGTTATGATAGAGTCAGGCTCTAGGAAGGTCAAAAGTGATGGGTATTAATGGAGGTCACAGGGTGAAAAAGAGAGAGAAAGAACAAGTCATATAATAAGCACCACCAGAACCATCTCAGCACCACCAGAACCATCTCAGCACCACCAGAACCATCTCAGCACCACCAGAACCATCTCAGCACCACCAGAACCATCTCAGCACCACCAGAACCATCCCAGCACCACCAGAACCATCTCAGCACCACCAGAACCATCTCAGCACCACCAGAACCATCTCAGCACCACCAGAACCATCTCAGCACCACCAGAACCATCTCAGCACCACCAGAACCATCTCAGCACCACCAGAACCATCTCAGCACCACCAGAACCATCTCAGCACCACCAGAACCATCTCAGCACCACCAGAACCATCTCAGCACCACCAGAACCATCTCAGCACCACCAGAACCATCTCAGCACCACCAGAACCATCTCAGCACCACCAGAACCATCTCAGCACCACCAGAACCATCTCAGCACCACCAGAACCATCTCAGCACCACCAGAACCATCTCAGCACCACCAGAACCATCTCAGCACCACCAGAACCATCTCAGCACCACCAGAACCATCTCAGCACCACCAGAACCATCTCAGCACCACCAGAACCATCTCAGCACCACCAGAACCATCTCAGCACCACCAGAACCATCTCAGCACCACCAGAACCATCTCAGCACCACCAGAACCATCTCAGCACCACCAGAACCATCTCAGCACCACCAGAACCATCTCAGCACCACCAGAACCATCTCAGCACCACCAGAACCATCTCAGCACCACCAGAACCATCTCAGCACCACCAGAACCATCTCAGCACCACCAGAACCATCTCAGCACCACCAGAACCATCTCAGCACCACCAGAACCATCTCAGCACCACCAGAACCATCTCAGCACCACCAGAACCATCTCAGCACCACCAGAACCATCTCAGCACCACCAGAACCATCTCAGCACCACCAGAACCATCTCAGCACCACCAGAACCATCTCAGCACCACCAGAACCATCTCAGCACCACCAGAACCATCTCAGCACCACCAGAACCATCTCAGCACCACCAGAACCATCTCAGCACCACCAGAACCATCTCAGCACCACCAGAACCATCTCAGCACCACCAGAACCATCCCTGGCCTACCAGAACATCCAATAGCACTAGAACTATCTCAGTACCGCCATTACGCTAGAAACCGGTTGAAGGCGATAGAAGCCACTGTTAAAGGTTACACAGATCCGTTAAAGGCGCTATATACTCACATTAAAGGCACTAAAACAAAGGTGAAGGAAACGTCATCTCCCCTCAAGGGTGGTTCCTTCACGCTGGTGAGGGGCTCTTGATCTAGGGAATTGGATCTGTGCTCCAGTTCCCTGAATTAAGACTGAATACCTTCCATCCCCTCCCCCCCACAGGCGCTGCATAATCCTAAGGGTTTAGCGCTTCCCCATGATTATATAACATAGGAAACGTCAATGGCAATCTACCGGTAGCTGGCCGAGACCGGTCAGCAGGCTGGTCATGTTGTGTGATGGTACACTGTACCGACAAGTTGACGAATAAGACACTTGTGCAGCACTTTTCTGCCGGTACGTTTCGCCTGCGAAGACTCGAGGCAGTTGCCTTGATGTTGGTGAGGGGCTTTTCGATCTGAGGAAGTGGACTTCCCTCTCCTGTGATCGAAACTGGGTGTCTCCCGATTCTCCCCCGGGGGGGGGGAAAGCCATGAGACCCCTGTGGGTTTAGCGCTTTCTCCTGATTAAAATTAAAAATGAAAACGTCCAGCCTGAAGAAGCCTGCTGCGCAGGCGAAATGTTTCGGTAATAAAGACAGGTGTCGTGCATATGTTCATCAGCTAACTGATGAACACACGATCCGACCACTACCACCTTGAAAAAAATTAGCGTTCCGTTGTTAGCAAGGCTTGGTCATGGACCGGGCCGCGGGGGGCGTTGACCCCCCCGGAGCACCGTCCAGGCTGGTAAGTTCATTACTGTCAAAGGCCCTTAGTGTGTGCTATATTGGTGCGTCTCAATCTTTCAACAACATATACAGCTCAAAGGAGGTTCCTGGATGCTGGTGAGGGGCTCTTGATCCAGGGAACCGAGTCTGAGTTCCAATTCCTTGAATTAAGCATGACTGCCTTCCATCCATTCCCCCCCCCTCCCCACACACACGCACACGCTCTATAATCCCTCAGGGTTTAGCGCTTCCCATGATACTGCTGGTAATAATAATAATACTCAAAAACATGTAACAAGTTTTAATTATTATTATTATTATTATCAAAAAGAAGCGCTAAACCACAAGGGCTATACAGCGCTGCAACAAAGTTTTAATAATATTATGGGCATACTAAGTTATCTCAGACAATGATACCACTAATGTCATATCTGCCAAAACTATCGTTATGCTGAGCTGTTTACCAGCCAACCATCTTTGAGCGACGGGTCAGTCATTGGGAAGAACTTGTGGTGTGAAGGTTACTCATTGCTGGTGTTGTTCCATTTTAAGGGCTACGACTGCTTACCCTCTGTTTGCATTGACGATGCTAAAAGGGCTCGATACGGCGTAATTTGTCAGTGGCCCTTATAAACCATCAACAGGAAGAGCTGTGTTATAATGGTTCGATCCCCGGTACGGGTGGAACAATGGGGCGTGTTTCCCTAAGACACCTTCTGTTCCTGTTCACCTAGCAGTAAGTAGGTACCTGGGTGTTATCCAGTGGTTGATGCTATGCATCACTTTCGTTTATTCTCTCTCTCTCTCAGTAAACATTATATTATTGTATATTGTTATATCATGTTCCAGAAATGAATCCTAAAGATGACTGGTCACAGAAACGTTGATGGTAATTCAATAAATGTCCTAAGAAGCTGGAAGTGTTTCCCAATTGAGGTGCCGAATAGGTAAAACTTGCGATTTTGGCTTAAATAGCAACGCTCTTCTTGCCCAATAAGACAAGCGAAACTTTGTGTATGCAATAATTTCGCAAAAATCATTCTGAACCTAACGAAAAAAATATATTTCATGTGTTTATTAAATTACTGTAAACTTATCTAGGCTAAATTAAATTGCGCTTGTTATAATAAGGTTAGGTAAGTTTTCTAAGGTTCTGTTGGTACAAAATTATTAATTTTTGCATTAACATAAATGGAAAAATATATCTTTAAACGTATAATTTTTTTTTAGAAAGGACTTAATTTTAAACGAGTTCTTGCTAATTGACCAATTTTAGCTATTCGGAACGACATATATATATATGTATAATATATATATATATATATATATATATATATATATATATATATATATATATATATATATATAT